TAGCTTAGTTGTACTATAATTGTAGCTATATACTACGTATTCTATCTATAGAAATGATAACTACATACTATTAGTATGATGTATAGCCTACCGCCTATACCCGGCCCTATATTAACCTAGCTATACTTTATATACTTAGCTATACTAATACATTACTACTCACTATAACAAATTTTGGGCTGTGTCGCTGTTGTGTCGTGTGCTGTGTGGGTGCTGCTCCGTGTGTGTGTCGTGTGTGGTGTGGTGTGTGTGTGTGTATCATGTCCTATACTGCTATCATTTGTGATAGTCATGCCGTGCTCATAGGTACCCTACTAGTGCACCTCATAATACCCCTACCCTAGCTCACAGTATAGTCATCCTATATATGTATACCCCCTTACCTAGATTATATATTATATATATCTATATATGCAAGATATATATGTATGTATAATACTATATATATACCTATACGTATACACTATATCACTATATTATATAATACCTATACTACTTCATAATATATCTACCTATACTATCATGTACTCAATATATTGCATATAAGTAATACTTGCATAATGAGTCATCATGATGCTCATATATATATATATATAATTGATATACTATACCTGTCAACTATCCATAATATGATACGTATTCTAGTATATTGTGTGCTATCTATTATATACGTCATATTATAATATATATATGTATATATATCAAGATATATAAGTAATATATACTATATATTATATATAGTAAATATGTGTGCTGTGCCTGTGTGGTGTGTGTGTTGTGCTTTGTGTGTATATATATATCTATAGTAGCGTATATATACTTACATTATATACTAGATCCATATATACTATAAATATACTTATGACTACTATAATTCGGATTATGTAGTTTAGTCTTAATCCAAAGAATTTAATATCTTTTCCCATCTTCCTTTGTTAAGGTCACCATAATTGGTCTTTAAATTAGGTGTAAATTACTTCAAAAATACTACCACCTTATGCTTCTCCCAATTTGATTTTTTTAAGGCCTGTAAAGAGACAAGACATATGTTGTTATGATTTAGAACCTTAATGGATTATTGCATACCCTACTCATATGTAATAATTTTCAGTCCATCTGTAGAACTAACTTCAGGTTGTACTATAATGAGAATAACACCAAAACAATGAGCCCCAGTATATTCACCGTGGGAATGGGATGTTGGCTGTCAAATATATATATTGAATGCATTTTTTTTGGTCAGAAATTTTTGTGTGATAGTGTAAAAGGTCATAAACATGTTCCGAGTGTAGGTCTTTTTTAAAATCTTTAAGTTTAATTTGTAATTATCCTCTTCATAAATTACATCGAAAAGCAACATGAAACCTAGCTTGAATTGTAATGGTTTATCGCCATCCCTTGATTCGAAGAGGTTCATGGCATGTGACCAAGCTCTGCGAGAATGTTGCAGTGCTGATTTTAATTTGTGTTTAAGCAACCCACCTTTTCTTAGCCAAGAAGTCTCTATATTAGGGCCATGTCTTATGAGTGGTGTTTAAGCACAGAGGCATAGAGCCGAGTTCATCGGGTAATTGAATATGAAAACCACTGATAGGGTAAATTTATAAAGAATACAGCATCTTCTACTGAGGGAATGAGATCGTGCTCGCTGTTAAAGGAAAAGGATGAGAAAACTAATCAACAGTAAGGGAATGTGTTACAGCGCCAATAATGCTTCAGCCTTACAAAAGTTTATAAGAACATGTAGTTAAAGAGATAGTTCACCATAATCCATGAAAAAGAATATAGAGGAGTGTGTTCTGAACATGCTTATTTTCATAAAACCTGATTAGGCTCATGAAGAAGTTATTAGAAGAATTTTTCTGTAATGGTATTTGTCCCCCCCCGCGTGCTAGCCGCGCTTAACCCCCCACCACTACACCACAGAAATCACGAACAAAGGTAATCATTAGACGAAAAAAAAATCACTCTCCATTTATCAAGTTGGACTAATCTCTGTTTCATTTACAA